CGCAAGCACTTCCATACCTTGAACGGAATGTACATCCAATAGTCATTATTTCTGCATTCAAAAAGGCCCTTGAAGATGCTATAAAGACTATTGATGAAATTTCAAAACCAGTCAATATTGAAGATCAAAAAGAAATGTTAAATTTAATAAAAAGTTCTATTGGTACCAAATTTGCGAGCAGATGGAGCGATTTAATGTGTCAATTGGCATTGGATGCTGTAAGGACTGTAGCTAGAGAAGAAAACGGAAAACGGGAAGTTGATATTAAACGATATGCTCGTGTTGAAAAGGTATTATTTACTGTTAGATCATATGTACTGTCATTCACTTATGATTACATAATTAAGCTGAATTAGTTTTCAGGTTCCTGGTGGCGAAATTGAAGAGTCCAAAGTTTTGGACGGCATTATGTTGAATAAAGATGTTACACACGCTAGTATGCGTCGCCGTATTGAAAATCCTCGGATTGTTCTTTTAGATTGTCCACTTGAATATAAAAAAGGTGAATCACAGACAGCGGCAGAAATTGTCGACGAGAATCATTGGAATAGGTTATTACAAATCGAAGAAGAACAAATAAAAGATATGTGTGATAGGATCATATCTGTAAAACCTGATCTAGTATTTACTGAAAAGGGTGTTTCTGGTAAGTAAATTCAACTTTACCCAATTTTATAATAATCAATTAAACTTATTTTATAACAATAAACGCAGACCTTGCACAACATTACCTGTTAAAGGCAAATATATCAGCCATTCGTCGTGTCCGTAAGACTGATAATAATCGAATTGCTCGTGCTGTTGGTGCTACCATCGTAAATCAACTTGATGATTTAAAGGAAGATGACGTAGGCACCGAGTGTGGCCTATTTGTTGTTGACAAAATTGGTGATGAGTAGGTATTAAATTTTATTTAATATCTCATATAAAGGCATACTCCTTTTAACTTCCACGTATGACTTTATCTTTATTTATATTAATATTTAATATTTACTTAAGGTACTTTACTTTTCTTACTAAATGCAAAAATCCAAAAGCATGCACGATTTTGCTTCGAGGTCCATCAAAAGATATTTTAAATGAAGTAGATCGTAATCTTCAAGATGCAATGTGTGTCGCGAGAAATGTATTTTTCAACCCTCTTTTAGCTCCAGGAGGTGGCGCAACAGAGATGGCTATAAGTGTAAAATTATCTGAAAAGTCAAAAACATTAGAGGGTGTTGAACAATGGCCTTATAAATCCGTTGCAGATGCTTTAGAGGTCATTCCGAGAACATTGGTTCAAAATTGCGGTGGCAATGCTATCAAAACGTTAACTCAATTGAGGGTAATCTTACATTTCTTAGTGATCTTGATTAATATATATCACAATGATGCCCAACAAAAAAATCCATCTGTAGGCTAAACATGCTACTGGAAATCATTCATGGGGAATTGATGGCCTAGCCGGCAGTATTGTCGACATGAACGATTATGGTATTTGGGAGCCACATGCTGTCAAAGTTCAAACAATTAAGACCGCTATTGAGGTAAATAAAATTCCTACATTATTTATATTACAAATATTTTCTTTCTAAATTACTTTATTATATTAGTCGGCGTGCTTACTCCTTCGAGTTGACGATATTGTATCTGGTGTGTCAAAGAAAAAATCTGGTAGTGGCGCGCAACAAGTCTCA